TCTGCATTCAAGCATAACCACATTTGCTCAAGTAATATTTCCTCCAATAGCCAGCACAACAATAAAATCTTAAGAATCTGACAAACTTGAATTTTTGCAGTCTCCAAACTATACTGCTGCCCAGAGTTCACTGGCTTGGGGCAGGTGAGAAATGCTATTAATAAATTAACAGTCAAGGTGATAGTAAAGAAGCCCTCTATTTTTGGCAATTACATAAATACAATTTTGCAGTTTTCTTGGCACCAAGACAAAAATGGGTTGCCAATGCCTTCAGCATGTTCTTTAGTTTTTTCAGTAGTTCCATCATACATGTGATTAACTTGTATCCGCTTAAGTCTGTAAATTCCTTAAGGGGGCAGACAATTTTGTATCCTGTTTGTTTGTTTGTTTATTTGTTTATTGGTTCGATTTATATGCCGCCCTTTTCCGGAGACTCAGGGTGGCTTACAATGCGTTAAGCAATAGCCTTCATACTTTTGTATATACCTGCTTAGTAGGGCTTTCGGGGGCCCACTAAGCGGTGTTCTTTTTTATACAAAGTCAGCTTATTGCCCCCACAAACCGGGTCCTCATTTTACCTAGCTCAAAAGGATGGAAGGCTGAGTCAACCTTGAGCCTGGTGAGATTTGAACTTGCAGTAATTGCAGGCAGCTGGTGTTACTTAACAGTGCTTTAGTCTGCTGTGCCACCAAGGTATCTACATGATACCATAGCACATGTTTTTTTTATTAAGAAAATCTATATAGCTAGCCAACTCACTCTTGGTGGCTCTGAGAGACTTACAAAGATAAAATCCCAATGCAGAATCCAACCCAACAATAATCAGACAGCCACTTAATAGATTCAACATTACTCAGATCCCACGCCCGTTGTTAGAACATGTCTTCAGGGCCTTTCGAAAGAGTGTTAAAAGTGGAGGCCAAAATTACTTCTGCACAGATGATGTTCCACAAGGAGGGAGCCACAAGAGAAGGCCTTTCTTCTTGGTCTCACTAGATGGACCTCCTTAAGAAAGGGGACCCATAACATTCCATCCATCCCTGCTCTGGTGCATCAGATAGATATATCTGGGAAAATAACCTGGTCCCAGGCTAGGTAGGGCCTTGAAGGTGACAACTACCACTTTGAATTGAAATCAGAAGCAAATTGGCAGCCAATAAAGCTTTCGCAAGAGAGGGAGCATATCTAGGTTTGCACAAAACATGTGGGTTGCCACATTTTGAACCAATTGAAGCTTCTGGATACTTTGCAAGGGCAGCCCAATGCAGAGCACATTGTAATAATCAAGACAGGAGGTAACTAGGACATGGATAACTATGAGCACAGATTGTTGGTCAGGAAAGGATGTAAGTAATGCACAACCTGCAGTTGCAAAGGCCCTTCTAGCTATGATTGCCATTTGCCCCTCGAGCAGGTATTGTGAATCCAAGAAAAAAACCCAGATTATACACTGGGTCTGTCTGGGGCAGTGCAACGCCTATAATATTTTTGAGTTGTGAGGGAGTGTGTTATTGAGTTATATGTAGCCATATAACTGATGCATTAGATAGATTAGAAAGAAAATGAAATACAGGCTTGGCTGAGTTATTGTATTTAAGAAATAATTTAAAACATATCCAGTAATAGTTAACTGTAAATTTAAAAATGTGGAGTAAAAGGGCTTTTTGCCAATTAAAAAGAAAATAATAATGCTCCACTCTTATGGATTAAAAAATCAAGCTGGGAGAACTGCACACAAAAGACAAAGAAAGTAAACCATGTTCTTTTTCTACGAAGTTTTATTAGATTTTTTTTAGCTATGCTTTTAAAGTTTTTTTTAATGTAAGGGAGTACTTAACAATCACAATTTGTAATAATATAGGCTTTTTGCTGAATATGCAGATCATTGCCCCCAAAAGAAATTAATTCTAGTGTAGGTGTTTCATTTTTGAACTCTGAAAGATGTCCATATATGGAAAAAAAATCAGCATGAACAAGTACATCTATTATCTCCTTAGATCAAGAACTATCTGGTGAGAGTCCTTTTGGAATGAACTAGATGAGAATGTTAATTCTTTAGGAGATAGAAAATCTGCACTATTTCTGTATCACATTTTAAAATCTAAAATGCCAAATAAAGATGATTAACAAAACTACTTTTTATTTTCAGCTGCTCGTGAGTAATAGACCACAAGCCAATATGCAAACAGAATATAGCACTGAATTTATTTTTAAATTATTTGCTGAGTGTTTAAAACATGAGGCAGTTCTGTTGCAAGCAATTTTCTACATGTTACAACAAGTTCTTGAAAAAGCAAATGTAGTTCTTCAAGGTACATTAATTTATGCAAAGGGTCATTATTTGTTACTATGAAGCAAGGAGAATTTTAAAAAAGATCTTTATCTTCTGCATTCCTTTTTGTATAACAAATAACAATGAATAGAAATAGGCTATTATTTTTAAGAGAGCTGAAATAGTTTTGGGAGAGATTTCATATCCAGTGATATACAGATATGTCTTCTCCCCTCTCATTTCATTAGACATGCTATACTTGATTTTATAGTAAAAGTAAATATGTTTCAAGATGAGCAAATCTTCAAGAGATAAATATGCATCTAGACTTGTGTATATTACAAACAGTATACAAACATTTCCATTTGTACATGAAAAGAATTAAGCCTAATGGTTGTGTTGGAAGAAATGTCCATCTGGGTTCAGTTCCAAGTTGGAAGAAAGACACTGGAAACATGGAGACTGCTTGGAAAGATGGTTTAATGGTGGACAGGATCACATGGTTTGAGCTCCTGGGCAAAAAAGAGCACATGGGTAAGAGAGAGAGAGAGAGGTTTATACCCTCTTTTGGGCCCTGCCTTGGAGCTTCCTGTTCCTGTGTAAGAAATGTATTCTGATTGGTTGTCAGACTCCCATAGGGCCATGCAGGGGTAACTTTGTAGGTTGTCTTGAGTCCAGGCCTGGTTGAATCTTGCTAGGTGATGATGTAATGAAGGGGCTTTGGGCAATTCCTATTATGGCTTAATGGCTTTGTCCTGGTTTAGATCTTGAGTGAGGGCTAATCCTCTCATGTCCTGTGGGCCATGTCTTTTGTTTTGTAGATAATTTGGCCCAGCCTTTGTCTTGTAGATAGGTTGGCACCAAAATATCTGTGGCGGGGCATGGAGTTGAGGCTCTGAGTTTGTCTTTAGAAACATGTTTCTCCTTTAGGGAAAATATTCAGCCTTTTTAATATTTCCTAGAATATTTCATTTTCCTAGGAGAGGGGTGGGTGCTAACTTCCTATAGTTGCATCTCCATAGAAGGCCTGGGCTTAATTTCCAGAACTTTCCTTTCTGTAATAAGCAGGTAGGAGACCTGGTTTGGTATAGTGCTTAAAGCATAAGGCTAGAAATTGGGAGAATGTGAGTTCTAGTTTTAGCATCAAGCCAGCTGGGTGATCTTGGGCCAATCAGGATTTCTCAGCCTAGGAACAATGGCAAATTACTTCCAAAATGTTGCAAGAAAACTGTAGGACTTGTCCAAGCAATCATAGGAGTCAACACTAATTCAAAGGCATCAAAAGAAAAAAGAAAAGAAAAATAATATTAAAAAATCAGATAAACGGGTATACCCAGTATTGTTGTCCACAAGTAAGATTTCAGTCAGATTCAACCAAAAGAGTACATCAACTCTATTTTTCAATTCAATATATTTCTTAAAGAATCCAGCAGAAAAACAACATATATTGTCACTTGCTACAGTATTTTAAAATAATTGCTAACTAAATATTTTAAAGAGAATTGTTTTAACCTGTCCCTGAAACAGTGGTGAAATCCAAATTTTTTACTACCGGTTCTGTGGGCATGGCTTGGCGGGTGTGGTATGGTGTGGCTTGGTGGGCGTGGCTTGGTGGGTGTGGCAGGGGAATATTGCATTGGATATTGCAAAATCTCCATTCCCACCCCACTCTGGGGCCAGCCAGAGGTGGTATTTGCCGGTTCTCCGAACTACTCAAAATTTCTGCTACCAGTTCTCCAGAACCTGTTAGAACCTGCTGGATTTCACCCCTGCCCTGAAGCATTGTAGAAAACCAGTTTCCACCCTTGACTGCAGCCTGACTTGTCAGCTCTAGGGAATGCTATGTTGTGACTGTGAATTTAATATTTTCATTTCTGAAGCATAAGAGACTAAAAAGTAGTAATTGTTATCTCTATTTTGTTTTTGTTGTTTTAGTTTTGCTTGATTGTTTTATATTTTTAATGGATTTGTACTTTGCTCATACAGCTAGACATGGAATCATCTAGAAAAGCAATAAACAAAAACGACATGTCAATTTAGTGAGTTAAATCCAAATTTCTATATACTGTATTTAAAATAAGACTATTGTGATCAAGACCCTTTGGCTACTGTTTGGACCAGACGGTCATTTTATCACAAAGTATATTCATTTTATTTATTTATAAATAAATAAATAAATCCAGAAAATTCACCTACTGTATATAGTTAAGAATTGATACAGACTTAACAACACATCCTCTTCATCGTCATCACGCTTATTTTTTCTTAGTTTCCTCCTCCTTAATCATATGATTGAATGAGTGCAAATATTGGTTCAAGATCAGGAATGTCCGAACACTAGGCAGAAGAGCTGTTTGAATTTTTTTGGAATTCAAAAAATTAAAATAGCCCTTTCACTCCCGATAAGTGCAGTCCCAAACATAAAGACCCTATCATAAAACATTTAAAAATGTTTAATTTCGCGCTCGATAACTGTGCTACATGATCGATGCCCTTCTTTTTCGTTCTAAAGGCGAAAAACTATTTTGCTCTACTTTCAAAGTACCACTTTTTTCATCTGAATAGACCGGGCTTCAACGTAGCAATCCGAAAGAACTACGAGTTCCATCTTGCAATGCTTCAGTTTTTATCGCGACATTCTCTCGGTTTTTCCTCTCTCCACCTTGTCTGCAAATGCGTAGGTGGTAGTTTTCGAGTTCTATGTTTTGGATCGCAGACGTGTAGGAGGGGGGGTGTGTGTGAACGTTTTGCTGGAAACAAAAGGGACCGAGGAAACGGAGTGTTCGGATTGTTCTCTTCCTGTTTACTCTGGAGGAAGTCTCGGGGAATTAAGTGAATTTGCGCTAAGTAACCGAGCGTGGAATTCTCCTTGGAACCTAGTTTCGCAGCCTTCAGAAACTTGCTTCTGCATGCATCACAGTCGGCTGCAAGTCTAACAAAGCGAGTTTTCTTGCCTCTCCACATCAGCTGTTGGACAATTGATTGCGGACGGAATCCGTTTGCCCCACGTCCGCCTCATTTCCCCTTCCCGGGTCTGGCTGCTGACCGACGTCTAGCGCCAAGAGGAAGAAACGATGCTTGAGGTGAAGAAAGAAGCCTTTGGTGAATTGCCTCTTGGCGGAGGAACCGTGGAAAAATTCCTGCTCGCATCCGACACAGTCAAAGTGGAAATCATATCCTTAGGCTGCATAATCACTTCCTTGAAGACTAAAGACAGAGACGGAAAGTTTTCAGACATTGTTCTAGGCTTTGATCATTTGGAAGGTGGGTTTGGTTGAACTTTGTAAGATTATTACGAAAGGGGAATTCTAATCTGCTTTCAGTTACATCCTTAATGTGCTTTTTTGAGGTTCTCCCTAAACCAAGAGGAGGCCTAGCACACAAATTTTAGTTTCTGTAGAACCGGTGACCTGACACCTGATCTCCAAGAGAAAGTCCCATTTATCTGTAGAGGCATAGGTAGAATATGCAGCCTTGGGTTACTAGATACATTTTGCAGTAGATGCAATCAAATATATTGCTATGTCTAGGAAGGGAATTCATAAAATGGAGTTAAGTGTGCCTGAATACTAGATATGAATCAAAGTTGAAAGAGGAATGAAACAAGACAGGGAATCTTGGTCTTTTCAGGTATATTTCATTCCCATTGCATTTAAATCATTGAAGGTTTTTCACAAGTAGCTGCCTAATTGAGTTTGTTTTCATTTATGGAAGGAACCCAGCCCCCAAACTGTTTTTACCTCACAGATGAGTAATTCAAGCACTGCAGTTCTTGTTTTGAAATGTTTGACTTCACAGAATTAAGGAACATATTGCTGTGGTTTCTTTGTGCTTAGTTTCATAAGCATGTAGTAACATAATTGAGAAATAGAATGCTTCCCCTTACACAGCTCTCTCTTCTCTATTAAACTTCTCTATTAAGCCACATTCAGAAAACCAGCTTAAGTATTAATAGTAGATTAAGAATAGTAGAAGTGCGCCACTGCTTGAGGTCTCTCTGATATGCGTCACTCTTTAACAATTTTTGTAGGCTTCAGAGTAGTTGCCATATGGCACAGACTCCAACAGATAATTAAGACTGCAGAAGAATAATTCCAACCATAGAACACCTGTATATTGCACAGGTCAGAAGGAGAGCTGAGAAAATACCTCCAGACTCCTCATATCTTGGACATAAACTGATTCAACTCCTTCTTTTGGGATGGTGCTACAGAGTATTGCAGGGCAAAACAAGTAGACACAGTGATATCTCAAAGGTGCTTTTTCAAAAGAGAATTGGACTTTCTTTGCTTTTAGTTGAAGACATATTGCTTCTCATCAGGGGTGGGTTCTACTTACCTTTACTACCAGTTTGCAATGGGGCTGCGCATGTGCGCACGCGTGCTCTTCTGCACAAACGCAGAAGCTTCTGCGCATGTGCAGAAGCGTTTTGATGATGTCAGGGTCAGTGGGCAGAGCCTCCCGCCAGTTTTACTACTGGTTCTATAGAACCGGTGCGAACCGGAGGCGACCCACCACTGCTTCTCATCCAAGAAGCTTCTTCAGTTCCTTTTGAAAAAGCACCTTAAGGACCACCATGACCTGGACGACTGAGAATCTTCATAGACATTTAGACACAGGGACAGGTTTTTCCCTCAGACTATCTTTCTGCTGAATACCTAATTCTCACAGTGGTGTCTAATGTCTATGTGTATTTACCCAAGTAGTATGGCTGTAGCATTATTATTTATCCATTTTATTATCCTCCTTATTCCTCCCTCTTATTATTATTGTGATTATGATGGTCATTATTCTATTACTTTGCATGTACACTGAGAGCTTCTGCACCTGAGACAAATTCCTAGAGTATCTAATCACACTTGGCCAAATAAAGTATTCAATTCAGTACGTGGTTTGAGGAAATTGATACGTGAAATCAGAGCCAGCCACTAGTTTTACATTTTGGTTCCTGCAAGTTTACAGTGGCAACTGCCCCAATTTCAAATAGTTGTGACAGGTAAACCTTGAAGTTTGGTTGAAGTCCCATCTACAACAGGTGGTAAGGCCGCAACATATATGATCACGTTTATTTACTACAAAGACTTAAGTATATGGGGAGAACAATCGGCATAAGAGCTGAGTTTTTCTGAGTCAACAACTTCCCCATGGATGAGTTCAGTTCATAAATTGGTACATTCCAGCTCTTTTAATTAACTAAACTATAGTAATTTTTACAAGAGTGTTTCCTTTTCACAGGAAGGTAAAAAGGCTGATATCTTTAGCAGATAGAATGCTGTTTCCCTTTGTATTCTAACTATCCTTCTAAGCTTGAAAATTAGAGAAGGAAATCAATTCAAAGGCTGCAGAAATATGACAGTCATCTCCAAACCAATTATTTCCAATTATATTGACTACAACCCCCATTGACCCCATCCACCCCAGTCAATTGCATTCACACTGTTTGGGTATCATGGAAATTATAGCCCAATACCCTTGGACAGCTGTGGTAATTCTGCCCAGCCTGGAAGTATACGGTTATCAATCAGCAGCTCCCATATTACGTGTTGGAGATGGGACTATTTCAGAGCCTAGTAAAAGCTGAAACATATATTGGCTAACTGCTGTTGGGGGCTTTAGTGACTAAGTCCATAAGAAGCTAAATACCAAGGTAATTTTTTTTGTGGACCATAAGGAATGAAACATTTATGATAATAAGCTTCACTAATCATATCTGATGGAAGTAGTTCATAAAAGAATATCCCAGAATCATGTAGTTAGCCTCTAACTTGCTTTAAAAGTTAGATTGTTTTTCTTGAACCAGATTAACATAACTACACTACTAGAAACAGAATTGTATTTTGATAATCTTTCTTTTGCAATGATTGATAGCAACTGTGGTTTTCCATTGCAAGAGACACAGTTTCATTCTTTCACAATGATTAACAAATTATTGTGAAAGATTTGTCAAATTTGATGTCAAATTTGGGTGTCCTAGACTCACAGCTAAGATTAGAGCAACATCTGTCAGCTGTGGCTAGGGGGACGTTTGCACAGGTTTGCCTGGTGCACCAATTGCGACCCTACTTGGATCGGGAGGCTCTCCTCACGGTCACTCATGGCCTTGTCACCTCATGGTTAGATTATTGCACCGCGCTCTACACTTGAAAAGTGTTCGGAGACTACAGTTAGTCCAGAACGCAGCCACGCGAGCTGTCATGGGTGCACCTAGGTACACCCACATTACACCAATTCTCCGCAAGCTGCACTGGCTCCCTATTGGTCTCCGGTCACAATTCAAGGTGTTGGTTATTACCTTTAAAGCCCTACATGGCTCAGGGCCAGGGTATCTTCGAGACCGCTTTCTACCTCATAACTCCCAACGACCGGTAAGATCCCACAGAGTTGGTCTCCTCCGGGTCCTGTCAGCTAAACAATGCTGGCTGGTGGGCCCGCGGGGGAGGGCCTTCTCTGTGGCTGCCCCAGCTCTCTGGAACCAGTTACCTCCTGAGGTCCATATCATCCTCACCCTATTGGCCTTCCGAAAAGTGGTGAAGACTTGGCTTTTCCGGCTGGCCTGGGGCCGTTAATCTTGCTCTTGTGATCCGGCGAGATCCGGCCATGAATGGTGTGAATGAGTTTTAATGTTTTTAATGTTTTTAATTTTTAAATGTTTTTTATAATGATTTTAAATGCATTGTGAGCCGCCCTGAGTCTTTGGAGAGGGGCGACATACAAATTGAATGAATAAATAAATAAATAAATGAATAAATAAATAAATTTTTGTTCCTTAATATGTAAAAAGAAGAAATTCCACTGTTCATTACATTCCGAAGTGAGTTTAATGTAGAAAAAGTGCTCATTACTATTCTTAAAATTATCCTAACATTATTTATATTAATTATAAATAATTAATACATAAAAGGACATTTTGAAAGAGAAGATTTCAAATGCTTAAAGATAATGTTAACCTTGTAGAGAGGGTTTATTTTTATCATTTTTAGTTCTGTTTTGATATGGTTTCACAAAACAGCTTATCACAAAAAGATGGCATTATTATTGTTGTTGTTAACCTCCAATTTGATTCACAGTCTGGGACTGGTAAAAAGTTGTTGTCATCTTCATCATCATCATCATCATCATCATGATGTCCCCTGACTCTTAACAATTTTGGGTTGAGGCCAGGCAACAATATTACAGAGAAGATGATAGATGGCATTTTTTAATCAATAGAACCCAGAGTGTGCCAACCCTGTTAGAGTAAAATGGCTGTGCAGACACTATGGGAGATGGGGCAGTTCCTCAAGTAACCGGGCCTCATGCTATCACCTTGCACCACACCTGGAAAAAAACTGGCAAGCAGTGCAGTTCATAAAGCAGAGATGTTACATGGGCATACCAAGGCATGCCCTTAACTCCCACACTGCTACATTCCAAACACACACAGTCCCCAGGCATTAGGACAAAACCTGAAGAGTTTACTTGGCCACCTGGGGTTGTAATATATAATTGGGCATCATCAACAGACAGATGATAACAAACCCCAAACCAGCAAATGTCTTCATCTACCAGTTTCAGGTATCTGTTGAAAAGGTGAGGAGACAGAATACAACCCTGTAGTATCCCACAAAGAAGGGGCCTATGGAGCGATCTCTCCCCTTCCCTGAACACCACTGGAATCAGTCTTGGAGAAAGGAAGAGAATCAACTAAAAAAAAAACCCTTCAAAGCAATCTTGTGTAAATGAAAATGTGCTTTTTGAAGAATCTATATTTTTTTCATGTCATTTCATACGTTCATATACAGTATAGGACTGCCATTTGTCAAAAACACTCTTCTATGTTTACTCCCCCCCCCTTTTTTTTTACAGAGGGGTGCTAAATTAAGCTGGAAAAGAATGAATGGCCCAAGTATGTGGATCTGAGCTCAACACTAAAGTACACTACATTACCAGACAGCAGGTGTCTCAATCTTGACAGCCTTAAACTGTATGGAGTTCAACTCCCAGAATTCCCTAGACAGAATACTGTCTAAAGAATTCTGGAAGTTGAAGTCCACATGGCTTAAAACTGCCAAGGTTGATAAACACTGCTAGTATATAAACCAATAGATATTAACTTCAGTGTAGCAGGCTGTGCACAGAGCACTGGCACCTGCATTGAAAGAAACAGAGAAATCTTAATAAATGAGTCCCTTCTTTCATAAGATATTGCTCAATTAGGATTTATTGGGTCACACACAAAAGAAAGAATGCTCTCAGCAGTCTTTTAAATCTGACTAACTTTACACTAAATTCTAAAAGGTATATTGTCCTGTTGGTCTTTTTTATTCTCTTTCTTAGGCTACCTCAGCAAGCACCCTTATTTTGGAGCTACCATTGGGCGGGTTGCTAACAGAATTGCCAAAGGGAAATTTACAGTGGAAGGACATGAATACCAACTGGCCATCAATGACGGCTCCAACAGTTTGCATGGAGGAGTCAAAGGGTTTGACAAGGTAGATCTGCTAGTGAACAGTTAATGATAAATTAGACAGATGATATTATTCTGGTTTTTTTCTCTTCATTGTGTGGAATAATCAAGCTGGATCTTACTTTGTTAGGTAATGGTGCCAGATACCGGTGTATACAGGCAACTCTAGCAATGCAAGTTCCTACAAATCTTTTAGATCAAAATACATACCAAATTGACATGTAATCTAAACCCTTCCATGTCTAGGAAGGAAGTCTATGACGGCCAGGGGTTAAAGATCTAAGAGAAAGCAACTTCTCTCCCTTTATGTTTGAATAGCAAGGGAGCAAGTTCTTAGAATCTTGCCAAGAGCAGTAGCTATTTGTGGGGTGAAATTTGTGGGGGTGGAATCCCAGTATCCCCCCCATTTACTCCTATTCTACTCTTGTATTCTTTGGCCAGTTGCTTATCCCTTTCTTTTTGTTCCATAGTTCTTACGTTCATTGAGAAGTCTTTGATAACAGACTTTATGAAGGGCCTATTTATTTATTTCATTGATTTATCACATTTACACATCACCCTTACCACCATAAGTGATTGGGTAGTTGAAACTCTAAGGAGATTTTCTTTTTTGAAAATCCTTAGGAGATGACGTCAACTGACTTCTCCTTGCATATGTTTATTAACATCCTCAAAAAAACCTTCTAATAGATTAATTAGACAGGGACTTACCTTAGTGAAGCCATGTTGTGTATCCTTGAGCAAGGTCTGTGTCTTCAAATGCTTGGTAATTTTATCTAGCAGTGTCCACTACTTCCCCCAGAATAGATCTTAAACTGACATGCCTGTAATTACCTTGATCATTCATCCAAAAATATAGAACAGGTTGCCTATATTACTTAGCAGATCCACAGTCTCAGCTTTAAGCAACTTAATAACCCTTGGATGAATGATAACATGGCCTGGTGAGTTGTTGATGTTCAATTTGTTAGTAAGATCTTCTTCTCTTGTCACCACTATATCATTCAGTTCATCTAGTATCCTTCCTGAGAACAGCTCAACTTCATTTGTATTTCTTTTGCCAGAGTTTATACTCATTTTTTTAATTAGGACAGGTCTTTCATTTCTTAAAGTGAAAGACCAGTTCTAATGAAGAAAAGTAAAGAAAGCTATGAAGCCCAAGAAAAAACTATTCTTAAATCATTTTTTTTCTTAGGCCTCATAACTTTATAGTGCTACACAATCGTGCAGTCTCATTTTGGGGACATTTTCCTAAATTTATGAATACACTGGGCTTTCTCTTTGGGTTTGCTTTTTATCAGCCTTCTAAATTTTGAAGTCAAATATGATTGTGTTTTTAGGTTATTGCTTCTCTGAAGGTGAATTTTATTTTATTATGGTCATTTTCCAATATGTTTTGAATATATATATTTCTCTCATAACCCTATGTTCTAGGTTCAAAATCTTGAGCACTACTTAAGAATAGGTCTGTTATTGCCCCCCTCTCCCATTAGTTGTATGACCAACTGCTCTAGCTCATGTATTTTTTTCTATATATTCTAATCACAGTATGCTTTATATCTAGTAAAATAACTGATACTGTTTTATTTTGTTTCTTACTAAAACATTGCTAACATTTTGAAAATCATTTACCTTTAGTTCTCCTGTTAATTCCTAGTTGAATCAAATGTTTGTAATATTTAAAAAATTGAGGCCACTATTGTATTATATTAAAACACATATTAATTAAAATACAGTAAACTATCTTTATCTTTTATAATTTAGTGCATTTAAAGGATATGCATTTCTCGATATGTTTGTAGACTTCTTTATGTTCTACCTTGGTTTAAAAGTTTATGTTTAGAAAATTGCCTTCTTCACCAACTGGATTTGTCCATTGGCTCAGAATCTTCGCTCTGATGGGAGAAGACTTCATTTATTAGATACTATTTCATTGTCTGAGAGTAAAAAACAATTGAGTATAAACCTCAGGACCTATATTTAGAATAAGTAATCTCTTTCAAGATCTTCACACAAGTGTCTGTACAGATACCACAGCTTTTCCCAGTGCGATGCCTTCAGTTATGTTAGGGCTATAATTTCTTGCTGAAGTCTGAACACATTTGGGCAGTATTTGAAAACTGGTCCAGTCGAAGTAGATTTATTTATTCTTTAAACTCATCAAATTGTATTTTAGGCTATCTGGTTGCCTGAAATCCTGCCAGATGGTGTCCGCTTTTTCAGAATAAGTCCAGATGGTGAAGAGGGATATCCTGGTGAGCTGAAAGTATGGATATCATATACACTCAAAGATGGGGAGTTAACAATTAATTACAGAGCTCAAACTAGTAAGACTACACCAGTCAATCTAACAAACCACGCTTACTTCAATCTTGGGGGTCAGGTAAGTGAGTTTCATAACCATTACTGATGTTGGCAAGAAAAGAGATAGATCCTACATTTCTTTTAACTGCTGAAGCCCTTTTCTATATAGTTATTTTTCATGTTTCTGCTGAAATCTACTACAGCAGGGGTGTCAATAAAACCCGATTGCATCGTGGACCATATTGTGATGTATCGGAATTATTTTTGCCCTTGCAGAGCCAGGGTAGGCGTGGCCTGAGCGGGCTGTATCTGGCCTGGGGCTGTATGTTTGACACCCTTGTACTACAGTAACCAAGGGGGTTGTAGCATTTTATTGATCTTAAAGCATGAGAATAGATCCTTTGGGGAATCTATTTTTTTGGGGGAAAACATCCCAAGTTGGACAAAATCCAACTTTTACATTTTCAATGTTACATTTTGGAACATTTTGAATTTGGCTGTGAAGCGAATTTGAAAACTATACATGTAAATTGTGTTAAAGATTGCAATGTGTACAAAAATATATTCAAAACTCTCCCGACGAATTCCCATTCAGATGAAAAAAGATGAAATTGCCAAAGGTAATTTGTTGTAATGACATAAATATGAATTATATTCTTTATAATACAAATGGTCCCCAATTGTGGCCATTCAGCAACCATTTGAAGTTATTCTGGTGCTGATGGAAGGGATTTATGGCTGGTCCCCCAAGTTTGATAGCGCTTTCTTATAAGTGGATTTTGGTAATGAAAGAAAAAGCTTGGGAAGCACTGTTGTAGGGGATGAAGAGTTACTAAATCTGTTCACTTCTGTGATGAAGGTTGGAAGTAAAATGTTTATTTTTCTTTATTCTTTTTTCCCTTTTTTCTATTTTTTAAAGTTTAGATTATATAGATTTTACCATTGTAACAAACTTCATAGTAAAAAATATATTAAAAAATGAGATCCATGTCAGAACAAAACCAATATATTATTATCTTTCTGTATCTAGTATTATAGTATTTTTTTTTCATGACTCAGGGTTCATCTAATATCTATGACCATGAATTTACCATAGAGGCAGATTGTTACTTGCCAGTGGATGAAACTCTGATTCCAACAGGTTGGTTAATCTGAGTGTCTTTGAAGGTGAAGCTGTATTCTAGGGAGAAAAATATTGGGCTTCTTTTAAATTTTAAGATCCTGTTTCCAAATTAACCAATTAACCAATATAACCAATTAACAGGTTATATATTGCACCAAACTGGAATTATAGGGGAATTATTGAGGTAATGACTATCAAATTTATCGCAACATTGCAGAAATTAGAACACATAGCCTGAGCCCATACTTTGTAATTTATATCCAGAGGTAAGGTTTGTTTGTTTGTTTATTAACTCTCTCACACACACACATTCTTTGCTGTGGATCTGCAGAACTAAGAATGCAGCCTTTGGTTCCCAGATGGGCAGATATTCAGTAGTTTTGCTTTTCAAAACAAATACCATAAACTGTTGTCACCTCTTACAGATTCTCAACTTGCCATTTCTATACCTTAATACTCAGAATGACTGTGCTGGTTGTCTCTGTTTCCCCACATAGTGTACATTAGGGAAACTAACTCCTTTGAAGCCAAATGAGGAGGATAATCTAACATAGGGCAGTGGTGGGATTCAAGTAATCTTAACAACTGGTTCTCTGCCCTAATGATTTCTTCCAACAACTAGTTTGCAAAATTGCTCAGAAAGTTAACAACCGGTTCTCCCGAAGTGGTGCAAACTGGCTGAATCTCACCACTGACATAGGAGTATCAGATTGGGAATGCTATGCTAGAAGTTCAGTTCATTATAAAAGGAAACATGACAATAGGTGCAATGGTGCTTTGAAAGAAGGCCACAATGGACAATATTGCTCTTAGAATCATACTGAACGTAGAAACTTGTATTATGCCTGTACAGATTATGGTATATCTATGCCAGTGAACAGGATTTGCAATGGGTCTCTAGGATCTCAGACCTATTTAAAATCTTTTAATTGGAAATAATGGCATTCCTGATTTTTTATTTGTACTCCACTCATGCCTTTGGAGTATATTGTTCTAAGGACCGAGGTTTAGGTGAATTTACAGTACCGACTCTCTTCAGATTTCAAAAGAGGTAGCTGTGCTGCGTATGGATCAGGACTTCCCATTCCTCTGACACAGGAATGGTTACCTTCTCTCATAACTAACAGGACAAATGCACACAGGTCCTGATAATGTAGAAAGTTCTGTTTGCCAGCAAATTATTTTTTTCTATGTCTGGAGTAGGGATGACTGGCTATTACTTTAAGAATTGTGATGGATCAAGAAGGTAGGACACTTTGCACCAAGGTTTTTTTTAACTATATAAATCAGCTAGAAGAACTAATTGGCTCAAGGTAACTCCTGCCTGCTCTCAGCAATATTTATTTATATGCTTCCTTTATTACTTTTATAAATAACTCAATATACATGAAACTACTCTCTTAACCTATTTTCTCCACTACACCCTGTGAGGTAGGTGGGCTGAGAAAGAGTGCCTGGCCTAAAGTCACCCAACTGACTTTCAGAATAGAATCCTGGTTTCTAGGCTGCTGCCTTAACCACTAGACTAGACGAAACTGACTCTCTGAGGCTGACAGAAATAAAGAGAACTGAAGATTGATTTCAAACTATTTTGGGAGTGGTTTAGGGTTTAGAGCTGGAGTGAATAAAAAACTGTGTGATGTGAAAGTACTTGCTGAAAATAATTTTAGGAAGCTTTAAAACCACAGTGCATATTAGTGTATTTAGTGCAGGGATTATTGTCTTAACAATAGCAACTGTGAAAAGCCAACAGCCACTGTATACAGTATTTATGTTTCATGTCCTTTCATGTTTTTATAATTATACACCTGAACATTTCAGGCTACATCAGTTCCTTCATATCCTCACTCCTCTTTTGACTTGTTCTCCTCTCGCCAATCAGGAAAGATCACACCAGTGCAGGATACTCCATTTGACCTGCGAAAGCCTAAAGAACTTGGGAGACATTTGCAGAAGTTTCAGCTGAATGGATTTGATCACAACTTTTGCTTGGTCCAGAGAAAAGAACCACATTTCTGTGCCAGGTAAACATTTGGTTTCATTCATTTATATGTGGTAGTTGTGGAAATTTCACTCTAACTTTGCTTTATGCTTTTCTTTTTTGATTGATTCAAATTATTAATATACTGTTTTTCATTAAAAATACAGTATATACCCCGAAATGCCAATTTAAATTCATTAAAATTAGGGTCCCCACCTCCAAAGGAAAAAAAGGAAGACAATACAGCAAAACAGTCAAGAGGATTAATTTTACTGTCAGAAAGCTGACAAGGAGATTGGTTATCAGAGAAGTTAGAAGAATGTTTTTTTATCTGATAGAAGTCAATTTTGGAACATAATTTGTAATAAAAGGTATTTTCATATTTTAAATGTCATGGAGGTTCATCAAAGATGTTCTTTGAGCTTCATTGAGATCTACGCCTTTCTTTCGAATTTATTGTTAAGGCCAGTGTAATGACAGGGAAACGTAAAACTACCATTGGAAATCATAACCTTAGGTTTCCTTTTCCACATTTTTATACTTACCTTACTTTTTATCTGCCTTTCATTCTTCATAAGAATATAGCAGCACAGAAAATAATAGTTAACAACATCAATAGTTAGCAACATCAAAAACTTCAGCTGAGCAAAATCATAAATCCTATATTTGCTATCATCACTACTATGACTTTATGTGATAAAATGAGTCATCTGAACCAGATCTTAAATTTATTAAAAGCTGAGTCTGACATTATTCTGGTCCACATTGAAATTATCATCACAGCGATAGTTCTGTCATATTACAACATAATTTGCTTCTGTTGGTTGGACAGAGAATGCTGTAAATGTACTGTAGCATAGCTACATAGAAAGCTGCACTGCTTATTTCAAGGGGGAAATGTTGGTGCATGTAGGTTGCATGTGGATCCAGCCTGAATTCCTTAAACCAAAGGCACTTTTCCTGCTGTTGACCAGCAGCCACCACATGAACCTCAGGAAAAGATGGCACTGTTTTAAGGAGAGTGCCAAGAAGTGCTATGCAAGGCTTTTATACTTTGAGGCACTTCCCCCCACCCTTTACATACAAAACACAACACAGTTCTACTGAGGAATCTGCTTCAATTCCCTTTAGAATGTGGATTTTTTTAAATCAAAGATTGGAAGGGGGAAACAGGTAGTGTGTTTATTTTTATTATTACTGTTCTTTTGATCACAATGATTTCGAATGTGTTAAAGCACTTTTAAAGTGATTCAGGATTTTGCTCGTATTTTCACAATAAAACTAAGGATTATGTAAATAAGGCTCTCAACTGATATTGAGAGATTAATACTCATTTGATTCTGTTGTGTATGATGAGATTCATATCTACTTTATAATGGCAACTTTGGCCTGTCTGTATTATTTAAATAGAACATAAAAATCATAGGCTGGAAGGGTCTTCAGAGGTCTTCTAGTCCAACTCCCTGCTGAAGGGAGGAGCCTTTTTTCATCAGTCAAATGTTTGTCCAGTCTGTTTTTGAAAACCTCCAATGTTGGAGCACCCACAGCTCCAAGAAGCAAGCTATTCCACTGATTATTTGTTTGGACTGTCAGAAAATTTCTTACTTCTAGTATCTCTCTTTAACAAGCTTCCACTCATTACTTCTTGTCTGCTCTCTGGTGTTTTGGAGAGTAAGTCAATCCCCTTTTCTCTGTGACAGCTTCTGAAGTACTGGTAGATAAGTTATGTCCCTGCTAATCCTTCTCTTTGATAAGACTAGACATGCCTAGCTCCCTCAACCATTCATTGTACTATTTAGCCTCAAGGCTCTTTATCGTCTTTGTTGCTCTTCTCTGCACACTTTCCAGGATCTCAGCATCTTTTTTGTATTGTGGCGACCAAAACTTTACAAAGTATTCCAAGTATGGTATCACCAGTGCAATATAAAGCGGTACCATCAAATCATTTATTTAAAATGAAGAGATACAACTGTATTTTTCAAGAAAATAATTTAACTCGTAAATACTTTATGATCTCTTAAAATTATGTAAAATAGTAATATGTTTGTGGCAACAAATCCAAGATTGCAATCATATATCCACTTACCTGAAAATAAGGTTCACATATTATATTTTAAAGGGTGACTTCTTTTTATTTACTGTAAATTACCACATCTTTCTCTAAAGCTCAAACGGCATGTGTGGGTGAGTGAACTCATTTTATCCCCCCAAAAACCCTGTGAAGTAAGTTAGACTAAGGCAGTTAACATTTAAATTTAAAAAGTTTAACATTTCATCAAAAGACAAAAATGGAGTTTCTGCAAGGAGTATATGTAAAAGATCGTTTAGTAACCATCTACTGTCTTTTTTCAGAGCTTATCATCCTCCTAGTGGCCGAATGATAGAAGTTTATACAACTCAACCTGGTGTTCAATTTTATACAGGGAATTTCCTGGATGGGACTCTAAAGGGTAAAGAGGGCCATGTGTACTTCAAGCATTCTGGTTTCTGCCTTGAAACACAAAACTGGCCAAATGCCATGAATCAGGTACATTTTCTTAGATGTTAGAAGACTCTACATAATAGTCTTGGACCCCAATATATTGAAGCCTTTGTCATTGGGGTATAATGGGTTGAGCTATAGATTAAATGATTATTGTTCCGTTTGGAGTTGAAGAGAAATCTTACATTGTCATACAATAGAATTATCTTTATATGCTGCTCCTCCCCCCAATTTTAAATTGCATTCAAAAAGCGATCCCTCCAGTTGAAATCTGATATGATCTTCAAAGGAGAATCATGTGATTTCTCTATATCTTGACTAGCTCTTAATGCCAACAAATTTGACTACCAGATAGTAAACTAGATAGCTATCAAGCAGTTATCTATTAAATGTGTCCATTTAAGCCAATCTTTCCATACAATTCATGTTTGTTATATAAAATGTAAAAAAAACAGTTTTGAAAAAGATCACAAATATTCCAATCATTTGGGAAACAGTTTCCATTCCAGAAAAGAATATAAAGATTGGAAAAACTTCTGAACTCTGTTCAAAGTATTCTGAAGCTGTTTTTAAATACAATTGAGTACAAGTGGTGAAATCTAAAATTTGTTACTACCATTTCTGTGGGCGTGGCTTGGTGATGGTGGGTAATGTGACTGGGTGGGCATGGCCAATTTTTTTTTTTACTTTTAAAACCATTTTTTTCTACAACCTCTTCGGTGAAGAGATTGTAAAAAAATGCTTTCAAAAGGCTGATGATCCCAGCTGAGTTGCCTGATCGGCAGAGGCTTTTTTTTTTTACTTTTAAAAGCATTTTTTCGGCCAAAGAGGATGTAGAAAAAATGCTTTTAAAAGTAAAAAAAAAGCCTCTGATGATTGTGCGGCTCAGCTGGGCATGGGGAGGGTGGTTTGCAGGGATTTTTGCTACTGGTTCTGTGAACCACCCGCCTCCATCGCTACCGGATTGGGCGATCCGGTCCAAACCAGGAGCATTTCACCCCTGGAGTACAAGTATGGTTCTTCTACCTAAAGTCTTTTTTTTCTTTATAGCCTACTTTTCCAGATGTCCTGCTGTACCCAGGAAATGAATACAATACCACAACATGTTTCAAGTTCTCTGTATCTTAAATGAAATCTTGCTACAAGTTAATTTTGCAAAATTATTTTAACTGATTTAAGCAAATTCTGAATATCCTAATTATAGCACAAATTTCATCCAAGCCATTAAAAAAGTAGTATTTGGATAAGTCCCCTTTTAATAGTAGAAAAGTAGTAAAATTTAAGTTCACTCAACAAATTGAATATTATCATCTCTATCTGCAGTTTACCACCTTTTGTAGCCAAAATTGTGGAAACCTTTTGGGAAAAGTGTATTTTTGAGGTTTGATGGCTAACATTTTTTTTCAGTTTCAAGATAATCATATTCCACTGCTGGAATGGCCTGGGAATAGCCCAGACCTTAACCCAATTGAAAATCTATGGAGCCGACTAAAGAAACTTGTTATTCAGAAGCAACCCAGCAATAAAACCCAGTTAATAGAAGCAATCATTCAATCTTGGTTTCACATTATAACAGCTGCAGAACTAAAAGACTTGGTTCACTCCATGGGAAGATGTTGTAAGGCCATAATTCATGATATCGTTTTTAATTAATGGGGCCAAATTTATATATATATATTTAATTGTATTTTAATATTTGCACTTTATGTTTTTACTTGGCTGTTCACCGCCCTGAGTCCTCAGGGAGAAGGGCGGTATACAAATTCAAAATAAATTAAATTAAATTAAATTAAATAAAGGTTACCCAACTAAGAATTAACTGATGTGTTAATTTTTGTATATCTTGTTTTTTCTGTTTCACTTTTCTTTTTTATACTGTAACTGCTATTCTTATAGCAAATCCTTCATAAAAGTTATTGCGTTACATTCTTGATTAAATTATCTTTCCATTGATATATAATTTTATGGTACTACTCCAAAAAAAAGTGATGTTATTAGCTAGTTTTAGAAAATACTTTTTCCAAAAGGTTTCCACAATTTTGGCCACTACTGTAAATAGAAAGTGAAGTCCTAATTTAAAATCGTGAAGACTTTCATTAAGGTGGCCTGTGGCAGTGTTCCTTGACAATTCAGGTATTACTGAGACATAATAATCTGATCATAGATATTTGGCAATGCAGTTTCCACTATTCCAGAATCTAAAATTCCAAATATGGAATACTAATGTTGAGCACTCTGGATAGTTCAAATGGTTAACATTGTGTCATCACCTCTTTAATTCAACCATTTTCTGGTGCCATACAGACTCAGGAAGAGGCAGAGCCAAAGATATAATGTAAATATACTGATAACAGTTCTGAATGGTTGCATATCCTTAATGCATTGCTAGATTTCAGTTAGGTGTATGTAAATCAGCTCAAAACAACTCAATACTATATACACAATTTGCTTGCCATTTAACAGCTTAGAACTGTTTTCCACACAATCTACTCTGGTGTAATTAGGAACTGATATTGTAATGGCATCGTATCTATTTCACCAATTTATTTTTTTCTTTAGGATAATTAAAAAAATAATTCCCAGTATGTGGCTTAATTTTCTAATTGTAAAAACAATAGAGTTCATATGGTGAATAGATATGCTGCAACATTACCTAGCATGTTTAAAGGGCTTGAGACAGATTTCTCATTAGAACCAGATTTGCAATGAATGAATCCATTATAAAATAAAGCACATCAAATTCCAGCCCTCAATTTTATGATTAGGCCAGATCACTTCCACAGTAATCTCTAATCTTTAGATGGTATTTCATAGATGGCATAACCCCAGAAATAAGGGTTCAATATAAAGGCTGAGGAGAGGATCTACTACTTAAATCAATCTCAGTGCCAATCTTAAAATTGATTGAAGCCAATCCCACCTTTCCCAAATATAGTAAATTGGCCCTTTAAATTGAATGTGTTAATTTTGGCATACAATACTGAGGTCCAGATTTATCAACAGTGAGACCCCCCATGGATTTTTTATCAGAAAGGGTGAGCCAGACCTCTCCAACTTCAAGTGATTTATGAACCAACTCGCTTTTCAAGCTTGGTTTGCAGAACCTTTTCACATTAAAAAAAAACAACAGCTTGATAGATGTGGCAATATATATTCTATCACTATATGAGATCCTAGATTAAGTCTGCAGTTAATGGCAGTTTTTAAGGAATGAAGCTAAAATAGTCTCTACAATTAACCAAAGAAATGAATTTGTGTCAAAGTAGCTATTGAAGCTTTATTTCAATAAAAGTTTGTTCTCAACACAGAAGGATACTTCACCTTTTATAATTTATTCAGTTTATAGGAATACAGTGGCCAATAGGAAGGACTATAAAAAATGGCAAGGAAATGCAATCAGACAACTGGGGAAATACTGTAGCCATGCTAAGCATTAAACTATACAGCATCCCTTAAAAAGCACTGCAACTTATTTATTGCAAATTCCTGCCTTTTCTGTAGAATCCCTGCAATCCTAAAAATGTATGAAGTGTAGCTAAAGTCATGTGTCTTTTTGTAGAAATACTTGAATCAAAGTGTTGACATGGGGGATATGCAGCATTTTGCTTTTGAAGTCCAAAAGTTGCTTTGAGATATGTTGCTCCTTAAAGCTGATACAAGCAAGCTGGGGAAACAGTATAGCTGTACTGAGATATTGCAGAGTGTTACTTGAATTGTTCTTAAATTTCATCCACCAATAGAAAATGATGTTTAGTAGTCTGGTATTATTCTTCATATAAGAGGTTAAGTGTGTGGTACAGTGTGTGTAAGACTAGGATCAAACCCAAATTTAAGTTTTCCCTTAGCCATGCAATCTCACTGAGTGATTTTGGATCTTATTCCATTTATTTTACAAGATTAATCTAGGGATGGAAGGCAACAATTTCATACTGAATTTCATGAGAAAAAAGGATACAAAGAAAATAAAATGTGGAATAAATACTTAAGCCTGTGTTTTTTTCCCCTATAAAAGCAGTGTTTAACTGCTTTAATAAATTCCTTGTAATTTTGACAGATAGCAGCAAAAATTCTCAGTGAATTCAGTACAAGGGACTAGATCTAATGTAACACTCTTAAAATTTTGGAGAACAATAATACTGCTCTTGCCCAAATCTCAAGATACCTTATCTGACTAGAGGACAAGTACCTAATCACTTTGTTAAATAATTCCAAATTGGAGCCAAGTTGCCATCTAAATTTATCTTGGACTTGTCTTTAAATACTTAACTCTGCCTGGAATAAGACACAATAGTATCCTGCAGTTATGAATTAACAGATCAAATCAATCTATATTACAAAATCAGACAAGCAGCTTCCTTGCTACACCATTTCAAGTCATTAGGATTGTGCCTAACCACATAAGTCTACTGCAGGCAGCTTAGTAGTAACAAGTTAATATATCCTTGCACAGCATTTGGATACAACACTAAGGTATCTGTTTGGAGTTTGCTTTCAACATGCACTTGAAATATTAACAGAAGCAAATAACATTATAGCAAAGTTAGAAACACATTTTATTTCACGTGCCCATAAAAAGACACAGTTGAGATCATAGGATGTTGTTACATACAAGAAATTGTGCACTATAGTCTACTGTAGCAGCTTTTACAGCTTTTACTAAAAGATCCAGATCCTTGCTGCATTAACCCTAGAAAAGATTTTCTTCAGCGAACTAAATCCTTATATTTCTCAATAAAGAAATCCCTTAACATTACGTAAACAATATTTTTCCTAACACGTTCTTTGCCATTCTAATCCAATCTTTCAGGACTGATACTTCTTCGAGGGCTTCCCGATGGTGAACGGCTGGAAGTAAAAAAACAAAAACAAAAAGGGTGGGGGCAAGGAGAAACCAAGTCACAAGAAGTTAATTTAATAAAAAGTTTGACTAGATTAATGGATTAGTGTTATAATTAGGCCCATTACTACATCTAGGGCAATAATAAATTTAATCCTAATGCTTAAATTATTTGGGTTATTCTTGTGAAAGAACATGTTAGAAATCAAGTGGAAACCATGTAAATTTTTAATGTGAAGTATGAAAGCAAAATTTCTACATTTCATGCACCCCCTTTCCCACAAGAAAGTATTGCCAAGCTTTCAAAGCGTTCAAGAAGCAGCATACTTACCGTGAATTAATGGAGAATGGATATAAATGGCTCATATCAAAACTGAAAAAGCAAGACTGAAGATTAAATCAAGTAATATGCTCTTAAATACATTTCTAAATTGGTTTAAACATCTAGATTTATTTTGCTTGGATAAGTAACTGTCATTCAAAGCATAGATTTGATTATTCTGCACTACAGCAGACTTTCCCCCAAAGTTTATTCAGGGCCAGTTATAACTCTATACCTTCTCAGTCTGACTATGAGCCATTTAAGTTTATTGTCCATTAAAACAATCAAGATGTGCTCAATGATTTAAGATATGTAAGAACTTCCTATTTTGGAGTGAGGCTCTGAATATTAATTCACACTAGTAAAACTTGCAAAATTTTACTGTTATGTATCCATAACTTTTTTTTTTTTTTTTTAAACATCAGGAGTATCAAACACGGCCCACGGGCCAGGTACAGCTCGCGCAGGCCATGCCCAACCCGGCCCCACAAGGGCAAAAACAAACCTGATACATCACGCGATGTGATCAGGTTTAACACCCGAGTTAGTTGAAGAACCTCACAATACAATATTCTGTATTCTCCACAGATCTATGCAGAGACCATTACTATAAATTACTTTTTCTTAGTTAACTGTAACAATATAAATAATTCAACCTATAGACTCAACTTACCTTCTCTTTAAAGATGGTGATCGTGATTTAGAGCGGCTGTTGAAATATCAATTAATTTTGATTAACATTTAACATACTCATTTACTTTAGTCATGAGTCTTATTTTACAAAATGCAGGTGTGATCTGACGGTAAACATTTTGCAACAGTTTCTATATCAAATATTCAAAACCAAAATTTTTGGAACTCCACAAATACAAAGTTCATAATACTGTTTTCATTCTATAAATTGTGTGCATGTGCTTATACAAAAAGCGCCATTCCCCCCTCCCCCCCAAATATGGCAAAATAAACGTTATTTCTAATTAAGCTAAACCGGGTGCCTGCAACCTGCGGCTCTGGAGCCGCATGCGGCTCTTTGGCCCCTTTGCTGTGGCTCCCTGCCAAACCAGATCCCACCACTGGCTGGCCCCACCCCACCCCTTCGCCCTCCCCTCCCAGTCACTCCTTGCCTGAGAAGATAAGGGCAACAGTGGCGGCTGGAGACTCGCTCCATATACCAGAGTGGAAGTGAAGCAGCCCTGTACTTGCCTCTTCTTTCAGCCCTTGTTGGCGCTGCGCGGACCTCAGTTGCTCAGGGAGACACACGGCTTTCTCTCTGCCCTGAGACACTGGCCTGGCCTGGCCGCAGCCAATGCTCTGCATTGTAATGGGCTCCAGGAAGAACGGGATGCCGTCTCCCCCATTGTGAAGCGCACTAAATTTAAATGTGCTGCACAAAGCAGGAGCAATGAGGTAATGGAGGTGGTGAGGGCACCGGCGTCAGCGGCAGCTGGGCCAGTGTCTCAGGTCGGAGAGAAAGTCACGTGTCTCCCCGAGTGACCTCAGCACCAATAAGGGCCAGAAGAAGAGGCAAGTACAGGGCTGCTTCACTCCCGCTCTGGAATATGGAGCAAGCCTCCATCTGCCACCGTTGCCCTTACCTTCTCAGGTGACAAGTGACTGAGAGGGGAGGGCGAGGCCAGCCAGTGGTGGGTCAGCCGGCAGGAAGCCACAACAGGGGGAACGAAAGAGCTTCATTTATCTGGGAACCTGAAGTGACTCGATTTAAATAATACAGTAAAAAGCACTCAAAGAAGAACCTCATCAGCCCCCCCCCCCAAAAAACCCCACCAACCCTTGCCTGTTTTTGGAAATGGTTCAAGAGGGAACACACACACACACAAGGGGGGGGGAAGGAAGGGGAGGGAGAGGGATGAGTGGGAGAGACCCATTTCCCACATAAAACACCAGGAGCCACAAAACCTGGGTAGGCGTGGCACCTACATGACTGGGTGGGTGACGTCGAGTTGACCATGCTTACCCAGATTTTGTGGCTCCAGGTGTTTTCTGTGGGAAACAGGTCCAAATGGCTTTTTGAGTGTTTAAGATTGCAGACCCCTGAGCTAAACTTTCTAGCAGTGGTTTAGGATTAGTTACCCAGAGCAAATTTAACTTTTAATTGTTGCTTTGAATGTCCACAAATGGAAGTTTACCTGCTTCTGGGCCGTGAAATGGACCTTGACCTCGACCTGGATCTTGATCGAGACCTGGATTAAAAAAAAAAAATCCAATACTAGAGTGTTCCAGTTCCTGAATAGTCACATAGGCCAAAAATGTGATTATTCCAGATTACTACTTGGGTAAATAGAAATATGGCATTAGAGTAAGATTCTAGACAGGCAGCTATAATATGCAGGCAACCATTTTCCAGGGGTTCCTTTTAGTTTAAAACAGAAGAAAACTGCAAATTTTAAGACTCCAAATCTATAGAACTCTGTATATGGTGGTTTTTCCCCACAAGCAGTCACTTGGCAAAAAAAAAAAAAAAAAAGGATTTGATTCTCCTCACTCTGTCACAACAGATCTCACTGGGTGAGTCTAGTTGCAAGGCTTCATGTGGCTTGTTTTCTTGAAAGTGACAGCTTCAACTGGTGATGGAATTTTTCTACTAATGCTCATTTTTATGCTCCATTATCTTTCATTGTATCAGTGGAGAGGCTTCTTATTCACACCACTGGATGCTAGTGCTGCCTGCACCTATTGATGGTGAGTGATCTCTCAATGTGGCAATGGATGCTACTGATCTCCAGAGTACCTGGCAACTCGCTCTCATCATAAGCAATCTGAGGAATACAGTATAGTTCAGTAAACTAAGAGCACTCAAAGCAAGAAAGCCAGCATGAGCTACATAAAGTGAGCATTCTTAATCACCAACCAAACTACTCCAAAAGCAAGCCATCACTTGGCTGAACCAGAGATTCATCATAAAACTGCACAACTAACTTAACCCTTAACAAATGCATAAGATGCAAAAAGATCATCCACTACAGGTAGTCCTCAATCTATGATCACAATTGAACCCAAACGTTCTGACCCCAGGACACTGCATTGAGTCAGTTACCAAGAACCCAAATTTTGATCACGTGAACATGGGAGTGCTACAATGGTCATTGAGTGTGAAAAAGGGTCATAATTCCCCTTTTTTCTGTGCTATTGTAACTTCAGTCACTAAATGAATGGTTGGAAGTTGAGGACTCCCTGTACAATACACATAAAATTCACAATACTGGCAGCTGTTAACCTGATTTGCACACAAAGCATTCAAAAACCAAGAGCTGCCTATTTTACAATCATTATAAATATTAGCCAAATTACCTTGATCTCTTTAAAGAACCTGAACGGGATCTACGTGGCGATATAGATCTGGATCTACGAGGAGACAGAGATCTAGATCTGCGAGCTGAGATAGATCTGGATCTAAATGGAAATAGACTTACAGTTATATTATTCTTTGCCTACTAAAGCTAGAATGTTCCACGTATGTAAATGCTTACCTCCTGCCACGACTTCGGCTGCGTGAGCGAGAATATCTTCTTCCTCTGGACCTTGAATGAGACCGAGACCGTGACCTAGTTTCACAGTTAGACGAAAAAATTAGATTACATATTCAACAATTAGCATCTGAGCCCTCGCTGAAGCCAAAACATCAGCTATCTAAAAATTAGTGTCCGTCAGTTGAAAAATTCAGGGCCTATTTCTCGAATATTTTTACTACCTAATAAAGATGTTAAAAGGTATAACATTTAGAATTACATAATAATATAAAACACTATAATGTGTATTTAAAATAAACCTTGCAAGTTTGCAGGTCGACCCTCTTTGGCCC